TCCCTACATTGGTGTCTATGACTCATACTAAATGGGCTAATTTTTGAAAGACAGAAGTAGATTTTTTCCAAGTATTTCTTCTGCTTAGGCAAGATAAAAGACCATAAAATTCCACTTGTGCCCATTTGTTTCTGTGGAAAATAATGACTACCCATTTTAAGAAAAGAACCAGCAAACTGTACTGCTAAATTAAATGGATTAATATATAAATGTCACATCTGATTTTCCTTGAGTAAGAAATAGGTTCATCTTTCAACAAATCCAAATGCTAACTAGAGAATTAAAACTTGAAAAAAGTCTTTCAGCTGGTTTTCTTTGGTTTTGCTAGATGAATGACATTGTTATCTGCTTTCTGACATTTTTTACTACCTTAGCCGCAGAGCATTCAAAACTTGGAATCTATTTTCTAATGCATCATATGCAACTCTAAGCTAATAAATTCAGTAATGAGCTCCAAGGTGTGCTCTTACTGGGAAATAATTATGTTTTGCGAGCATATGGCAACATCTATCTTTGTCTATTTGGCCATAATGACTTTTGCATAAACTGCTTTTAAGCCATGTCCTCACCGCCACGTCAACTTACTTTATCCTTTCGGTACTATAAAAAAATGAAATGAAACTAAGCTAATACAAAAGGCAAAAAACTATGAAAACAACAAGCTGTCTTTTCAGCCTTCACTTTGCTTCTCAACATTTCTAGCCATCTCTTGAGAACGCAAAGGATTGGCACAACACGTTTCAATGACTCATTATTAGCCAATCCAATGCATTATATCAATTTATAATAAGGAAAGATTAATGGGATAGAATGCATCGAGATGCACTTTGAAGATGTCAATGTAACAAGCTTTGACATGGAAAGATTCATATATTAATGCCACAACTGACCGTGCAAGCTCTCATTACCGGGTGTAGTGCTCACTACTGAGAGCCGTCCTATTGATCTCATGGGTAAGAAGCACTTCATCCAGTATTAAGTAGTTGCAGAATCAGACTATGAGGATCTAAAAAGTATTCGTTTTTGTATCAAAAACCAGCATGCAAAAATGTCACGGTGCACATGCAAACACAGCATTTTCAAATGCCAATGCTCTGTCAACCTCAGTTTGTCCTGACATTTAAAGACAGACAGCAGAACAAAGTTATATCTCCTTCTCCACTTGCCCCAGAAAGTTATTACAACAGGCCTTCTCTTTTTTTCTGGTACTTGGGAAGTGCATTTTCCCCTAACTATAGATAAACCATTATGCTAGAGACCATAACATATGCTTGACCAACAGCTTAAGAATAAGGAACGTCCATCTTTACAAAGGTGTCAAAAATGGACTGAGGTGCATTTTAGGCCAGACTTCTCAGAAGCGAAAAGTGATATTTAAAGCTCAACCTGTCTGATTGTAAGGTGTCTAATTTTTAAGAACTAAGGATCATTCTTCCATCCGCCCCCCCTTCCCCCCCGTCAAACAAAACCCCATACATACACAGGCGCCTCTGAAGTCTCAAGTTCAGGACCTAAAAACCAAGGTTCCCAAAAGCAGACACTTTTGAAAAATCTTCATCTTGGATTGTATAAAAAAGATTTCAGAAGTGTTTTGTGATCCCTTGGGACCGGTAGGAGGATGGCTGTGATGATGCACACGCAGAAGAAAAACCCACAGGCAAATTTAATTAACTTGGCTGAAATTTGAAGTATCACCTTTCAGTATTTTATGGTTTCTGAAAGGCTGTCATATTTTTTACACTTTGCCTTTTGTGTGTATCGGCCAGTTCCAGCATACATTCAACACACCCAGATAAGTTATGTAACCAGGCCAATTCGCCTCACTGGGACAATTTGCGTGAAAAATTACTCACAGGCATCATCAGTGCAAGCTTGGGCTCAAAAGCCAGCTATACAAAAGCAAGGCCATTTCAGTTTGCTGAAAGGAAAGTGGCTGAACTGAGTTCAACCCTTCTTAAAAAGTATTATGTAAGACTTTTGAGCACTTAGGACTAAGAACTGACAAGCTGGTGAAAGACAGAAAACAGCGCTTTTTGGGTTCAACCCTGAAAAACACTTACACGGAGCAGTTCGACTGAACTCACTCAATAGGGCTGCTCACAGTGGTTAGCAAGATTGGGCACTTAAGTGAATCTGTGACAAAGATGCTGAATTTCATATTAGTTCTTGGAGAATATCATGGCTGCTCCTACTATAAATTTACTATTAACACCGAGAGTACCTCTTGCTACGTTTTACTTTGCCTATGCCTAAGTGAGTAAATTCAGTCTTGAGATGGAAGGTGTTTATAAAGCTATTACGCTCGCCAACTGCAGATGCTATAACACTCCAGAGGAATCAATCGATAAAATATTGGCCAAATATGATTGAAAGCAAAATGATCAAATACTGCATCCTATGTTAGACAGGAACAAACGGAGGGTAAAAATAGAAGGTTTTCAACTTTAAACAATGATAATTGACAACGCTCGCTACGATGCAGGAATCAAAGTAAGTGCCACACAAAAGGAAACAAAAGAATACTGTTATTAGAGGCAGATGAAACAAAAAACCTGACGAGTCATTGCCAGGTAGAAAGGGGCATTACATACCGTGCTTTCTTTAGGAACTTTCATTTTCCACACACCTCCTTTGGCATTGCTTTCCTCTTCCCTGGTTTTTGGGAAACATGTCAAGAAAACAAATATTCAAGTACACGTGCCGGGCAAAGTTGATACACAGACCTAGAAAAAGTGATAACTGATTTCTGGGTTTCAAGTTTTCTAGGAACGTCCCATTTGAAATATCAGCACGAGTTCCAGGCAGCGAGGCCTGTGCTAGTAAATCTGACACCAGAGAGAAATTTTTCGCTGTTCATGTGCAACATCTCTCTCAGCACCTAATCCCTCTCCTAAATTTGATGTGTTGGGAAACAGTTACATTTTCCCTGACCACAGAGCGAGCACTTCTGAAGTGGCAATAAACTCTCAGGGAATGCACCCCCGTGACACCAAGCTAATTCACGTTTTACCGTGGCAACTTCTCATCGTGAAAAAAAATCTGATGCACTTTCACACAAGCAGCTCGTTATTTATGTTCTTCCCAGTGAATGCAGGAGCTCAAACATATTTCAGCAGAAGTCTGTGATCACTGGAAATGAAGTCTTCTTCGACAGAAATGCTAAAGCAACTGGAGTCAGGACAGACACAACTATTAAATGATAGCTCAAACTGATACAGCACATAGGTCTGTCCCGTAACAGTCCATTTGATACATCTTTATTATGGTTTCCAGACTTCAGGTGAAATGTCACTGAAGCAAAAGTTGACAATTTTTATAAGCATACAGTGAAATATTTGATATGTGTTTTTTGATCTGCTGAAAAGTGCAGGCTCTAAATAAAGATCACCTAGGCTGAATAGGCTCCTATTGATGGAGGTGGAGCTCTCAAAGGACATCAAGACAAATAAAGGGAAGCATATTTTAAATATATCACCAACATCAGATTTTTTACTCATAAAAATCTAGCCATAATTAGAGTATATAATGTGTGTTGGCTAATTGTAATCTGAGAACCTCTACAATAGTTTTACAATGATTATTAAGCAGATAGTGAGTTATTGGGTGTGTGCATCAACTTTGCACACTCCTTTCCTTAAAGGACAGCACAGAACTTCTTTAATAAAAGTCTTAAAAAAAGATATGCATCGTTTTCAGACAAAGTTTTTGAATTACACACACCTCTGCATCACCAACCAAATCAAACAACAGAAAAGAGCATGACGTTCTTTCTTATCCTTCCACATTGTCAATAAAGATAGCAAGACCAGAGCGCACGTGTATCCAGGAGATATATTGTGCAGATGTCAACATTTTCTTAAAACCAATTTCACCTATGTCTCCCAGCAGTAATATCTTTTAAAATATTTTTTGTACTTGATCACTAGACAATGTGTGGACCTCCTGCAGTTACACAACATCTAGTTAGACATATTTATGCTCATTAATCTGAGATCATAACAACTTTAATCCAATCTCACAGATGCACATTTTGCAAACTGATCAGAAGATTTCTAATCTAGCTAACTAAAATTGATTGAAAATTGATTGCTTACGTTGGATTTGGATCCTAACTACCAAGGGGAAATAAGCAGCAATGTACAGGCGACCCTCGCCATTCGTTGGGGATGCGTTCTCACATCCCCCATGAATGGCAAACCCGTGAATAAGGCACTGCGTTCATGAACTCATTACCCCCAGTGGCTGGGGGGCACGGCTGCTCTGGTGACGGCGGGAGCCCGGCGGCAGCAAACATGGAGCCCCTTAGGAGCTCCTTTAAATGTATTTAAGAAGCAGGTTCAACATTCGCGAATCTTTGAAAACACGAATGCTGAACCCGTGAATAGTGAGGGTTTCCTGTACTATATAAAATATTATAGTTGGTCCTTTAGTTTAATATATATTATTTTAATAATTTAATTTAATATATATTATACATACAATCTGGACTTGTAGTAGAAATGCTATCTTTTATTAGACCAACTAGATTTTTGCAAAAAAAATTATTTAATTTGGTCTAATAAAAGAAAGCGTCTCTACTATGAGTCCTGATTGGCTTTTCCTCGAGACCAATACGGCTACAACCTGGATACCTGATACATACATACACACACTCATACACTACGTATGTGTGTATGTATGTGTGTGTGTGTGTGCATGTGTGTGTGTGCGTATAAGTGTTTGAGGCACAGATGAGGCATTACTAAGAAATAGTCGTCACACGCATCAATACCCCACCTATTCTGAGTGGAGAGAAAAAAAATTGTGAATTAGAAAAAAAGAACAAGGAGACAACTAATAGAAATATTTAGTTCAGCGTAAAGTCTTTCTCTGTGTTCCTTAGTTCAGGATTTCTTATTTACATTTATAAATCAAAATGCAAACCATGAACTTTTAGTTCACTATACTACACAACTTTAATTAGTAAAAAATGCTCTGTTTAATATAATGGGCTTTTAAGCTTTACAAGATCTTCAGACCAGGAAAAGTCACTCTGGGATCCCAAGTCAACTTGCTGTGAGCACAAGCATGTCATGCAACACTTTGTTCCCACTCTTCTCTTCTTCCCCTCATTATTTATCATTTCTACAACGCCTGCTCCCATAGCTGACAACAATAAGATACATACCAAAGTGGCCGTCTTTCTCCCCGCATTAAATGGTAACTACATCGCAGAGGCAAATTTGTCACAGGAGGAATATTATTATAGACACTCCAGAAATTCTTTAAAGAAAAGAAAAAGTAGTTCTAGTTTCATACACGTAACAGTGAATTTCATGCAGATTTACTTGCTCTTCTTATTCTTTAAAAAATCATCACAAATCTCCCTTACAGAAAGCCACAAGTTACCTTTGCTTTATATTAAAATTCTTTGAAATTATCTTCTGGTGACTCCATTTACTTTTAATAATTAAAAATCTGCATCATCAATATCTGAACTAAAAGACACTGAAGTCACGTCACTGAGAAGACACAGTTGCTCATCCAACACATGCTCTGCGAAAGGTGGGGCCGCGGAGGAGGGGAGCATTGGCCGATAGCAGAATCCTCCATGGGTAGGACCCTCCACGCTCCGGGGCCCCCATACAAATTGGGGACGTCTTCTAAACCTACTGTGTCCTCTACTAGACTACTGTGTCCTTAAGCTAGGTCCCCATGCATCACATCCTCCAGTCAGTCCCCCTTTTAGGTGCATAATTAGCAGTCATTTTACTTTTATACAGAGCCTGCAATCATAAATGTTTATGAGTGAGAGACAGAGAACAATAGTAAAGTCAGTCCCAATCTGAGTTACACTTGAACACGTTCAAAACAAATCAGTTTAAGTATAATTTCTTTAACATGTTTTTTTCCCCAAAAAGACAAAATTTCCAGTCAACCCTGTTTGCCAACTAATTTTCCAATCTAGCCTACTTGCTAACTTGCTGAATACCACAGGAAAAAAAAAATCCTCTGGTGCCTCTGTCTAGAGCACATCTCTCATTGTGATATTCTGAACCAAAAATTTATATTAAATTTCTAAGCTACATGCCTAATTGGTGATCCAATCATGTTGTCTGGAGCTAGCAGAAGGACTTCTGCCAGTTACAAAAGGGCTCAACATTTACTTAATGCAAATTAATGTAAGAATAGGGAGAACGGAAGAGAAAATGCCACCAGACTCTCTCTCTCAGCTTTACTGCAAGTAAGATGGGAAGCTAGTGGAAAAGAGAAAGGATAATCCCTTCCTACCACCTTGAACTGAGGATAGATGACTGGGGGAAACAGAGAAAGAGAAACATGCCCTTTCTTCTTCTACCCACAGAAAGGAAGAAGCCAGATGTTAAGCTGATCTTGCATCAAACTGGGCTAAGTATAGACAGTCCAAAAGCCCAAGGCTGAATCGATTCAGTCTTCACAAATTAGTCTAAGCTGTGTAGATTGAACCAATAAGCAAGTGAACAGACATTCACTTTTGATTCTCAAAATGCAGTCACATGCCTGCAGTGGCCCAGGCCAGAAGCCAGGGAGTGCTAGAGCATGCCTCCCTGATGGGCTGAAGCAGACAGCTTGGGCCAGGGCGAGCCCACCCACCCTGGAGAGGGGTTTGTGGGGGGGATGCAAAGCATCCTCCCCAACAAACATTGGCTGGGATGATGTAGTTGGGGCTGGTCCTGCTTGGAGCAGGGGGTTGGACTAGATGTGACCTCCTGAGGTTCCTTCCCACCCTCATTTTCTATGATCCTGGGATGTCAGGGGACTATGAGTTCATGTGAATCTGGAGGGGATCTGGGACAGAAGTTCAATAAACTGATTTAACCTAAATCAGTTAAGTCTGATACTACATCCATCCAGGTTTAGCTTAAACTGGTTTTGGCCATTTGGAAAGCGGTTTACGTGCGCTGACCTTCAGCTGCATTACAGATTTGAACCGATTTCCGATCACTTGTCGGAAATCGGTTCAAATCGGTTTGTGTGTAATTTCTGCCCCTAGCCCCAATGATGAAATATCATGTATCAATAGAAAACCAACTCTGCAACACTAATATGATTCTGGGGCAATTCTCAGAGCCGCTTTTTTACCCAGCTGTCAAAAATAGAGTAAAACTGCCTAAAATATTAAAAAAAAAAAAAAATCGACAACACAAAAATGTGAAAGAAAATGTGTGCAGTGTTTAGACTCTCCTGTATTTTGCATTCACTATTTTTGTGTCTGCTACAATTGACTGGCTAAGGGACACACAGCTGTTAGTGCAGCCGTCTAGAGCATGACTTGTACACACAATGTGTTTGCAGAGTGGTGTGTTTTACCGTGTCACTGCTTCGGATGACAGCAAATCCTAAAAAATGCAGAGGAAAAGTGAGGATTTTTCCTTCCACTTCCCCCAGGGAAGTAATTTTGAAATACATCTAACTGCTGAGTGAGGTGAACAATCAAAAGACCAAGCTACTAGCCTCTGGTAATTCATCCAGTGAAACTGTCCTCTCAAGGGACCCAAAGGGATTCTCTAAATCTTCCAAAGCAGCCCAAAGAGAAGGAATCCAGTTCAGCTCCTTAGTACAATAAGGCCTAGGTTAGCTAATGGAGACTAGAATAAGAGTCAGAGTCAGGTGCTGGATACACCTGCTCTTTAGTGTTCTCATCAGCTCTCAAGAGGTCTGCCCGGCACATCTACAAACTGTGCTCTTGGACGGAAAACTTCCAGAGATAATTAATTTCCTTGGGCAGAGGAAAATAGTGGCTGGGAAGGGACAACAGATCAAAGGTTACATCTAAACAGCAAAAATGTTGAGCTAGTTTGATCTTAAAGCATCACCACCTTCAGTGCTCCTGTAAAGACAACATTTAGGTCTCACTTTAAAATTTCATAGCATTTGTGAATTAAAGGCAGACTTAACATTATATAAAAAGAATCTAGCAACAGATTATACTGTAGGCTTACTCATCTGCTAATGTGGAAGCACTGTACCATAGAGGTTATATCCATTCAGATCACCAAGTGCAAGTGATGCACACTGGCTTTGTTTGCAGATAGAAAATGAGATGATAAGAAAAAGGGAAACACTTTGCTGTGCAGAATCTCTTATGCCTACAAGTGTTCCAGAAGCAGAAAGTGTTAAAAAAAGTATTAACAGAAAGTATGAAAGAGAGACACCCCCAAGGGTATATCAAAGGAAGAATTCCACATCCTGTATTTCCCATAGCTCAAATGATAATTATATTGAAATACAGACAAATACTTAAAATAAATCAAGGTTTATGATCCAGTTTAGAGATTCAGGAGAGGCTCTCAAATCTTTAGGAAAATTGGGAATAGCTGATAAAAACAAATGTATCACCTGCAACTCACCCCTTTCTGGTCCTTAGAAGCCAATTCAACTCTAGGGATGACTAAGGAATAGCTCATACATCCAACAAATACTTTTATACCTGAGGTAGGCGAAAGCATGAGTCTGACTCATCTGGCATGTGGGTGTCAATACAACCTCACACCTTGGGTTTTATTTCTCATGTGCAGCAATTTCTGTAGCACTATTTTAGTCTTACCTGTACTGTTTGTACTGTATAGATCTTTTTCAGATTTGATGCACATTCAGCCGCTGTAGTACCAGGAAGTGACCTAGAAAAACATTTAAGAAAGTCATTTTTGGATAAACTCAATAGATTATCTCAATCTCTTAAGAGGCTGAAACATTCACAACCTATCAGTGGTCTTCTTCCAACTCCAATCAAACAGTTTAAAAACCAAAGCCCGAATATTCTTATGTTTTCGGTTAGGTTGAGGTTTGACAAGGCATTTTAAAATATGTACATGCTAATTAAATGGGCACAGGGAAGATTTAAACCGAAAATAAGTCTGGTTTTTCAAAGAGCAACCTACCCATTTCTTCTGTGCAAGCAAACTGACTTACTTGTAAATACAGGTTTGCTCACATGTGCTTAATTATTGGCAAAAGTTTTGAAAAAAAGCCCAAAATAAGAGAAAAGGAAAAAGCAGCTAAGCGTGTGTGTATGTGGGGAGAGGGGTGGTCCCAGGAAAAAAAAAAATCTAGCTCAAATCCTGAATATCACGAGTATTTACAGCGTGCCTATAAGCCAAGTTCCACGGTTAATTTCTCATTCGGTTTCCTTTATATCTGATTTCTCCGTGAATGCTTTCAAATATTTTCATAGTCATACTCCAGTATTCCCCTAGTAAGGAGTGCCAGCTATATTTAGCTGTAATTCTGATATAAAAAAAAAAATCCACTTGGAGTTCAGTTTACAAGCATGCACCACTAGATGGCCACATCCAACATCCAACAACCTTGCGACTCCCGCAGTGCCTGAAATGGCACAAAACCCAGACCAAACGCAAAGAGGTCAGCTCGCTTACCGCTCACCGATCAACCAACTCTCAACCGTGACTTCTCTTCGGGGAAAACAAACCCGAGTCAAAAAGGGAACTGATCAAGCTGGAGCCTCGAGGCAGATCCCCCGCGCCTGTCGGGCAGCGATCTCAGCAGTTCTCGTCTCAAAAATCCCAAGCAGGGAACGCAGCTTTACATCCAATTATTCTGAAAACGTGTCGGAAACCCAGCAGCACCCAAACACCTAACCCATAGGTGGGAGACAAAGCCTTTCCCAAACCCTTGTCCAAATCAACGGGGAGGAAGATAAATAGATTAAAAATGGATTGCACAGAGAGCGAGATGGACAGCCCCTGACAAACCCACGCAGACTTCAGATGAACTAAAGCCCTACAGAAAATATCTACTGCTAAGAACAAAACCCTCAGCACTCAACTCTCTAGTCTTTGTTCTTGTGATCTAGGCAACGCATTCAGCCTTTGCGTATGCTGGGCATTTAAGAGAAATCTCCCACCACTGGCCTATGCAACTCCAGTATTTGCAATAGAAAAGACCCGGCGTAGGCCAGCTGCGGGCATTTTTACAGTCCAAGCAGTGGGAAAACACTAAAGCCTTGTTTACACTGGCACCTACACCATGGTGCTGTTGTATGATCAGTAGTAATTACTACAGCACAGGTACTTCATTTGTCCAGTGAAGCCTGTAGTTTTCCTCAGCTTCACCATGACATTTCTTTATTTCCTTTAATCCCTCAGGATGTATATACCACTTTAAAGTATTCTCCATAACCAGGACTCTTTTATCCCCACCTGTGCTACAAAATGACACATCTGCTACTTGCAGCAATTCAGCCCAACTCTTCTAACAGCGTGTGCACAGACACAAACGCACCAGTCCCCGTATTTGGGATTGCCACGACATTTTTGTCCTTCCATGTTCCTCCCACCAACCGCTACAGTAATAGAGTTTTATAGGCACCTCTAAACAATTCCCAGCACAAACCCCCAGGGAAACAATACGTGGGAACTAAAATCCATGTGTAGAAAGTCCCATTAAACTTTTAAGATGTATGAACCAAATAAATTAGTAAATTTTTAAATACATAAAACAGAATGTATGTTGCAAAACAGCATTAGCATTGCAAAAAGGCTATATCTTTTAAGATGAAACAAGGCTCAAGACTGCATGTCTTTCACCTTCAAAACTGCACAAAACTACAGAAGCTTGAAACATGATAAAAGTTGTAAGGAACAAGTACGGAGTCACTAATTGCTCGCAGGGTACGTGCTGTACACAACCCATTAAGTTTAGGGGAGCAGAAGCCCTGGAAGTCCTCCCTTCACTTTCCTGGTTCAAAAGCCCGCTATTTCTGAGCGACGAGATGATAGCTTAACTCTGGGGTAGAAAACCGAACTCTACGTGACAAATGAAGTCAAATCATTAAGACTATGTGAAGCTGCTTTTAAAATGTTGGGTTCCTATACATGTGCAGGGAGGCTGCTCAGACACGCTGTAATTGCATGGTAATCCAGCATGGTAATAACTGCGCTCCAGCAGACTCCAGCACCATGTCCATCAGCGACCCTGTGCTGAAAAGTGGCAGCGGGGTGCTTTAAACTAAAGCTCATTAGAGGAGCTTTAGTTCAAAGTGTCCTGCCGCCATTTTACTGTGTGGAGGTGCTGATACACGTGATGCTCCAGCTCTTTTAATTAGCGTGGCTCTCGGAGCGGTTCTAATTAAAGCACCCCACCCACACCCTGCCTCCCGGAGCACGTCTATAAATGCCCATCCAGTTTACAGTGCTGTAACATTTTTTGTGCCTCATATTAAAACCAAGTTTCTAGCTAAGTTTTAAGGACACACACAAAAGTTACCTTGCTCTGTCTATGACGTAGCCATAGAAAAAACTGCTTGAATGTACCAGTTACATTGGTATCACACTAATACAACCATGGATCCAATACACTGTAGATCATATAAATGGCAGCATAATGCATACAAGACAATAACTTTGCTGAAAGGAATAAACTCACTAAATCAAAAAGTCTCTCCCCTGTGTTCCCAGAAAGAAATATTAAGGTGTCAAATGAAGACTCCTTGTCTTCACCCCATTCTATCCTCACAGGTAAACCTTTTACCTTTTAAGTCTAAAGACAGTGAAATTGGTATCAAGTAACAGAAATCATTTGCTTATTGGGGATGTTTTTTCTAATAAAGGCAGATGGGACCTGCAGTCAAACTCAGTATACTTGGTGATAGGCTGATGCAGGAACTTGAAGCAGGAGGTTGCCCAAGAAGGACAAGAATCTTTACATGACTTAACTGTATCCAGAACTCTTTACTTACCAGTGTCAAATACTGAAATAGCATTATTTTGCCACTCACATCTTGGTGTAACCTCAGAGTTTCATAAGTGGTGGGTCTTAACCCGTAGCTCCTGGGCCAAATCCAACCCGTGGGACTGTGTCATCCAACCTGTGGGGCTCTCCAGGGGTCCAGAAATCTGGTAGCAGGCAAGCGGTGGCAAGGTTAATTGCCACAGTTCCCTGTTACACAGTGGCAAGGTTTATCGTTGAACTTGCAACAATTAACCTTGCCACTGTGTAACAGGGAACCCTTACCCTGTAACGGAAAAGCAGAATGGGCCCTTTAAGGGAAGGGTTTTGTGAACTGGACAAAAGCAGCTGGCAAGGCTGGGGTTAATAAAGAGCCCTGCTGATAGGGCACCTGACCGAATATGGGCAGGGCTTGAGCCGCTTATAAGCCTGGGGCTCAGCCAAGCCAGGAAGTCTAGCTCTGCAAGCCAGGGGATGAGGAGCTCCTGGCCAGGAAGGCTGCAGGGGGATGCCAGGTTGACCTTAGAGCTGCTCTAAGCACTGCCAGCAGGACACTTATTTAGGAACACAACCCTAGCTTGGACAGGAGCTGGGCAAGGGCCAGGGGGCCCAGTGTCCAGGGAGGGCAGAGCCAAGGCCAGGGGGCTCTTGTGCATGAGAGGGAAAGAGATGGGGTCAGGGGCCTCGAGCAAAGGACATCAGGGCCAAGAGCCCAGATGAAGCCAGGACAAAGACAGCCCTAGAGGCATGAGACTAGTGCCAAGGGCCCAGATGGAGCCAGAGCAGACTCAGTGCCCAAGGCAGGGCAGAGACAGCCCCAGAGGGGTGAGATCAGGGCCAGGGCCTATAACCTAAGCAGGGCACAGCCTGGGAAGATGAGATTTGGGCTGGGACCCACCAGTCAGGCCTGGTACAGTGGGTCTGGTCTAGGCTAAGGGAACCAACAAGAGAAAAGGGGCTGAGGCCAGGAAGGATGAGGTCCTGACAAAATGGTATAAAGGCCTAAGGTGGCCTGGTATCCAATTGCAGCCAAGTGCCCATGGAAGTCATTAATTGGGCATAGTGAAAGGGGTGGTTGGAGTCACGTAATAAACCCCTAGGGCAGCAGGTGCCTCGAGGCACGTATGGGCCAGGAGGGCCCAACTACAGACAGACTGGGTTCAAACTAGTGGGGTTCAGGACAGAAATACTGGTGAAGGAAAAATGAGGACTGGTTCTAGGACTAATAGGCAGCTTCCCTTTCATAACTTAACAATTACATCAAGGCATGGCAGGCGAGAGTGGAGGGGAAGGTAACTAGAATTAGGCTGAGGAAGTGGCCATTTGGCTACCAGGAGGCAACATGGTCACCCCTGGGTCCTTGGCCCTACTATACGCTGCTTCCCTACTGCCAAATTTCTGGACCCATGGGGAGACCCACAGGCTAGAAGACATGGTCACACACAGGGTCAGATCCAGCACACGTGGTGTCGTTCTGTGTTTGGATCTGGTTCACATACCAGCTATGCACTTCACATCCAGCCCGCGGGGCTACAAGGTTAAGCACCACCGTTCATCAGCATTTTGTGCTTCTTGCACTGTGCTGCTATGGTTGACAGACAAAGGTGGACATGATTTTACTCTTCCCTGCATCACACCAAGGTCTGAGAAATCTGTTCTGATGTATGCTTCTGCCGCCTGTTCCCTAACTCCACAGTCACAGGCAGGCATTAACATAATTTTGCCTTACTACACATTGTACCATGATCCTTATGGATGCATGTTGACATTGCCTTTGGAGTGCTGCAATAACACTGACACCTATTTAAGTGAATGTTAAAAAAGCATTGTGAACCAATAAGCTTCAAAGGCTGGCTAAGTGTCCATATTGGATATTTATCCAACTCTCATGATTTCACAAATCTGTTGGGGAATAAAAAACATAATACTCCTC